TCATTACAGAGCTTTTTTATTCACATATTCTTAATATGACCAGAAGTTCCCTTCGTACAAGAAGTTTCAGGAGTACACACCTCTCTGTTTTTAGATACACATTAACTAAAAATGGCTTTGAGGGTCCGAAACGTTTCCGGGGCTTTCGAGAAACGGGCCCTAGGGTTCGAACCTGGATCGCTCGATCCAGAGGCGAGATTTTTAACCATGAGGCCGCCGCGTCTCCATTATACATACCTTGCATATTCTGAGCAATTACTTGTGAACGGTCCTAGGTACCTTGGAATGTAGTACTCCTGTGGCCTCTGTGTCAAAACGCGCATTCCAACGTTTCTGGTTAATTTTGTTTAATTGATAACGTCTTGTTCTCCAAAGGTTATTGGAGACAAAAAAGGAGGTGTTACGTCAGGTATACTAATGGACCCGAGAAGTATGAGTGAACTAGGAGAAATCAGTCAACTTGTTCAAGTACCAATGAAATTCATCCACGTCACCAGGAACCCCTTTGACAACATAGCAACCATGACACTTCTCAAATCATGTTCACGTAACGCTGCGAAAGAATTCGAAGCGGGAGAAAAAGTGAGTTTTCTTTACTATGTCCCCTACTAACGTGTAGCACCTAATAGTATACAACACTAATGAATGTTGCGTGATAGAGAGCGTTGCGTGACACAGAGCGTTGAGTGACGAACGTTGAGTGAATAATACTATAGTGGGATCTTTTTCCTCCGGCTCAAGTAGTTAGAGACAAAATTAACTATTTATATTGTTGAGCCAGTTCAGTGTTTCATAGATAAGTTTTTATTAACCTTTGTTAGCTATGTGCAGGTGTGCTGTGACTGGTCAAAGTTGACAAAAAAATGGTCACATGGTTTGAAGTCTACCGCGCTGGTTACCAAGCTTCCACAAGGAAAAGCCTGGTTTAGAGGGTTCAGAACCACCTTATATTTACGAAAATTTAAGGTGGCTCTGAACCTTCTCTACAGATTTTTTTAAACTTTGTGAAAAATTGTATCTTATCATGCTTCTCACAATTCGATGATAAAAAACTGGGGGTCACCAAACTCGTTTTTATGTTATAAGCGCTTAAAGCTAAAATTACGGGTTTTTTTAAAAGGTTGTATTATTGTTATGGTAGCCTGTTTTATAAAAAGGATAACTGAAACTTGTTTACGAATGACTAGACATTTGTAGTTTACCATTATTGTAGCATCACTTGTTTAAAAACAGTGGTGGTATTCATCCTTCAAAGTATAGCTGTTAGAAAAGTGCTGGAAACTGTTGCCAGCCTCCTTAAAACCACTTTAAAACAATGAAGCATTTATTGGTTCTCTGCTTCATTTCTGACAGATAAACCGCAAGAATTACCTAGAAAGGAGCATTGGACAATATTTTGAGTTAGCTGCCTCAAATCAACGCGTCAGAGAACGGTACAGTGATGCAGTTCTCGATATTCCAGCACACGAAACAGTGCTAAGACCTCGTGAAACGCTACAAAGATTGTGTGACCATTTAGGTGTCACGTGTTCGGACGATTACTTTGAAAAATGCAGTAAAGTCATGTTCGGAACGCCGTCAATCACGAGGGACAAAGTAGTTTGGACTGATGAGCAAATAAAGCGAGTCACGGAGATGATGAAAAGTTATCCTTTTCTGAAAGACTATTCGTTTGATAAATACCCTTCCTAAAAATGCGTCAAGGATTGTTTGACTTTTAAGGTGCTAAGTCACGGTATTTTGACCACGTACAAATTACCATTAAATTGAAAGGAACCTGAAAATAGTAGGTAACCAAGACAGAAAAACACAAAAGAGATAATAATAAGTTATAAAGGAACAAGGATGGAGAAGATTTGCATGGATTGCAAACGGCGGCATACTTGAAAAATTTAGACTGAATTTTTCAAAAAAACCGTAACGTAGTTCCTTTAAACTCTCGGGTGAGCAAATTTATTCCTACATAATGCGTTATTTTCAGGGAAGTTTTAATTTATTTTTAGGTTTCTTTTCAATTTAAATGTGTCATGGCATGCGTTTGTCTTTTAATATCAGGCCAGTTGGTACAGCTTCAACTCTGTAAGCGAATATTCAAAATTTGAATTTTGTAATCCAGCAATAATGAATACTTGCCATGGCGAAAAATTAAGGCTGATGACGCATTGATATCAGCCACCATTTTAGAACGCAATCTCTTGGATTTCTTCATTTTCCAAAAACGTCATAAAACGATAAAAATCGAGTCAAGTTCGATTCAAAATCAATGAAATATTGTTGAAAAGCCCTAAACACTTTGAAATACCTGCATGAAATAAAATAGTTTTCAAGTTGTAAGAACATGTCGGCCAAATATGGTAACCGTGGAAACATTACGTTTTGAGTATAGCCTTGCAGACGGCCGGTGCGACTAAAATTTGAATTGACTGAGAATGAAATGAGAATTCAGCAGGCAGGAAAAACTGTGCTGTCCTGATGCAAGGTATTGAAGTCGGGCATCTTTTCTCACCGGTGAAGGCATTGAATATTCACGAAAAGGGATATATAATTCAAAAAAGCTATATCAGATTGTAAAAAGTGAAAAAAAAAAAAAAAAATGTGAGTCTCCAAACTTTTAATTTGGCGCCAAAATGGGTCTTCAGCGTTCGGCACCTCACTCATCGGTCGCTGTCGCCAGATAGGATAAAAGTTGTGTCATTTTGAATAAAATGTGCTACCCCTCATCAAATTAAACCCGGAATTCTCGAATTTTTTGTTGTTTGCGTAGAAAAAGACCATTATCGTGTCGTTTCGGTAGTTCAGCTCGGTCCTGACTGCCATTAGTTATACCAAATTGTTTCCAGATCAATTTTAAGGAACAAACGAAAGTCTAGCAGTCTATTGCTGGTTTGCAATATCACGCAATCAAAAATAAATATCGTAACCCATTCAATGAATTAAGTTAAGAATCTGGGATATGATAGAGGATTGATATATAAACAACCTTGCTAAGATCTTTGCGGTTTTTCATTCGCGCGTTATTTCGAAAAGTGTTTCACCCAAATTTATAGAGCTTTGTATGGAGACGCCATATTGGTGCCCTTCCGAGGGACACCAACATGGCGGCCGCACAATAACAGAAACAGCTGTCATTGAGTTTTGCTATTGGAACAAAAAATTATTACTCTATAGTTCTGATCATTGAAAGTAGTAGGTCTTCTAGTGCAAGAACTGTTCAGTTAGTTAAAACTTGAGTGATGAGTGACTGACCGACCCGGGATTAATTACTTCAGTACTTACTTAACATTTAAGTTTTATCTCAGAGTTGACTACTTATTTTCATTTGTTGATATCGTTGTTGATTTTTCGGCAGCCACCGTTCTTAATTCTGCGTATAGTATAGCTTGCGTACTAATAATAATAACAATAATAATAAATTAAGTCTTATATAGCGCTAGCTGTTTCTAGATTCGCAAGCTACCGTCATGTGCCAGTGGTTGTTCATGATGTTGCTATTGATGCCATTATGTTGCTTCCGTGAATAATGTTATCGTTCGCATTTTCTTGCTCATTGTTTGGTGGTTCTTCCCCTTCCTGTGTTGCTTCAAGCGGTACCACAATGTTCGTCGATCTTTCGAAGACTCGCAATCGGAACCGTTCAGCCTGTGTGTAGTTTTTTCTGAGTAATATTTCAACGAACGCAATTCGAAAGTGCTTTATCCTAACGCAGTAAATAACAGGATTTATCAACGAATTGAGAATTGCTACAAAGCTTGTCGTGAAAAAAGCAATATGAGCTGTCTTTACACGATTTATGGTAGAAGTCTGAAGTAGTATTCGAACAATAATTGATGGCAGATAGCACAATAGCAGAATAAAAAGTACAGTAGTTGTTAACTTTAAAGCTTTTCCCTCCTTCAAGAATTTTTCCCTGGCTTCTTCTGATATTTGATGGGCTGCGATTTGCTTCTCGTGGCGGCGAATTTCCCTGTAAACCGCAATGTGGCAGAAGACTATGATGGCCATAAGAAAGGGAAAGCGAAAATAACTCACCGTCAACAAAATGTTCTCGTCCGTTATGAGAAAGGGTATACATGCCTGCACCATTATGCTTATCCAAGTCACAGCAGACAAGCCGAGTATACGAGCTTTAGTAACATGGCTTGTGTAAGTGAACGAGTGTTTAATGGCCAAATACCTTTCCACGCTAATCAGGGCAAGTTGACAGAATGAAGCTCCACATAATGACTTAACCACAATTCTCGATAATCGTTGCAGCGTGCAGTGTTTGTTCGATGTCTCACCTTGCATGGTTAATATCGTGACCGCGGCAAAAACAGGTTGGGCGATTATTCCCACTAGCATATCAATGAACGCTAAACAGCACAGTGTGATATTGGAGTTAGTTTTCAGTCGGGCTTTGGTCTTCACAGCAATCATCACCAGCACGTTCAAAATAATGATGAATGGACATGTTGTTATGTTGACGACTGTTATGAAGATAAGCAGCACATACGCCCATGTAGCGGTACGATCAAGTCTTCCACCCAGATATTCGTAGATTTCGCATTCAACGGAGATCGTGTCGCTGGTAGAAGACCCGCTGAAATTCATGTCTTCTCTGTTGTGATATGTTATGGGGTCATCGGTCTTTAAATAGAACTTTTTCATTTCCGTCTTCCTTTGTAGATTGTACACAACTTCACCTGTCCATATATACGTAAGTTGTGGGGTCATCGGCTTTGAATTTCTTGTTCATTTAAACCGTCTTTTGTTAAATAGATTGTAAACATCCTAAAGAGTTCAGATGTACTGAACTGAAATTTAAGAAAATCGTTTTCTTCATTCAGTTACATTTCTGATTAACAAGAGGGAAAGAGTTTTATCCAAATTTTATCGTTGTGAGATAGTGAACGCCAATGTTTCTCGGTCACATTTTGACACCCCGTTAAAAATGTGTAAATTATAATGAATTAAAGAGGGAATTAATTAAGGCGAAGGGAATCAGAGAACGATGAAATGCAAATTAATAACAAAAGATTATTTTTGAAAATGTGGATTTATTATTGAATTCGATAAGGCCATTATCATTGACTCACTAAGTTAACAAAAGAAAACTCGTTTTCACGAATTCTGCCTGAGTTGAAATATAAGGGATAAATAAGTCAATAAAGAAATAAGGAAGTTTTTTTTTTTAAATGTAAAACATATATATTTTTCTATCAACACACGTTTTCGGCAATCCTGGGAACGACATATGTCAAACCGAACTGAAAACCAGATTAGTCATGTAATAAATGAGTACAAAATGTATTGTGTATTGGATTAAAGTTCATATAAAGGAAAAAATCATTTTTTTTAAATTAGTGTTTACGTTATATATCGTTTGAAATACACGATTCCAAGGTTTCTAGCTATTTTGAGCCATGAGCTTTTCCGAAATATCGAATCGCTGACCTTGGAATGAACTCATGTGTGGGAATTCTAAAAATCATCCGATCAGATCAGACTTCGCAATCCCAATACTACCACACAAAATCCATTCACTGGGGAGCATAATGGGGCCTCGACGGGATGTTTGAGTAACGATACCGTTCAACTTTGAGCGACTAGAGCACAACCATAATCAATAAGATAGAATATCAAACGTTANATGGACCCGAGAAGTATGAGTGAACTAGGAGAAATCAGTCAACTTGTTCAAGTACCAATGAAATTCATCCACGTCACCAGGAACCCCTTTGACAACATAGCAACCATGACACTTCTCAAATCATGTTCACGTAACGCTGCGAAAGAATTCGAAGCGGGAGAAAAAGTGAGTTTTCTTTACTATGTCCCCTACTAACGTGTAGCACCTAATAGTATACAACACTAATGAATGTTGCGTGATAGAGAGCGTTGCGTGACACAGAGCGTTGAGTGACGAACGTTGAGTGAATAATACTATAGTGGGATCTTTTTCCTCCGGCTCAAGTAGTTAGAGACAAAATTAACTATTTATATTGTTGAGCCAGTTCAGTGTTTCATAGATAAGTTTTTATTAACCTTTGTTAGCTATGTGCAGGTGTGCTGTGACTGGTCAAAGTTGACAAAAAAATGGTCACATGGTTTGAAGTCTACCGCGCTGGTTACCAAGCTTCCACAAGGAAAAGCCTGGTTTAGAGGGTTCAGAACCACCTTATATTTACGAAAATTTAAGGTGGCTCTGAACCTTCTCTACAGATTTTTTTAAACTTTGTGAAAAATTGTATCTTATCATGCTTCTCACAATTCGATGATAAAAAACTGGGGGTCACCAAACTCGTTTTTATGTTATAAGCGCTTAAAGCTAAAATTACGGGTTTTTTTAAAAGGTTGTATTATTGTTATGGTAGCCTGTTTTATAAAAAGGATAACTGAAACTTGTTTACGAATGACTAGACATTTGTAGTTTACCATTATTGTAGCATCACTTGTTTAAAAACAGTGGTGGTATTCATCCTTCAAAGTATAGCTGTTAGAAAAGTGCTGGAAACTGTTGCCAGCCTCCTTAAAACCACTTTAAAACAATGAAGCATTTATTGGTTCTCTGCTTCATTTCTGACAGATAAACCGCAAGAATTACCTAGAAAGGAGCATTGGACAATATTTTGAGTTAGCTGCCTCAAATCAACGCGTCAGAGAACGGTACAGTGATGCAGTTCTCGATATTCCAGCACACGAAACAGTGCTAAGACCTCGTGAAACGCTACAAAGATTGTGTGACCATTTAGGTGTCACGTGTTCGGACGATTACTTTGAAAAATGCAGTAAAGTCATGTTCGGAACGCCGTCAATCACGAGGGACAAAGTAGTTTGGACTGATGAGCAAATAAAGCGAGTCACGGAGATGATGAAAAGTTATCCTTTTCTGAAAGACTATTCGTTTGATAAATACCCTTCCTAAAAATGCGTCAAGGATTGTTTGACTTTTAAGGTGCTAAGTCACGGTATTTTGACCACGTACAAATTACCATTAAATTGAAAGGAACCTGAAAATAGTAGGTAACCAAGACAGAAAAACACAAAAGAGATAATAATAAGTTATAAAGGAACAAGGATGGAGAAGATTTGCATGGATTGCAAACGGCGGCATACTTGAAAAATTTAGACTGAATTTTTCAAAAAAACCGTAACGTAGTTCCTTTAAACTCTCGGGTGAGCAAATTTATTCCTACATAATGCGTTATTTTCAGGGAAGTTTTAATTTATTTTTAGGTTTCTTTTCAATTTAAATGTGTCATGGCATGCGTTTGTCTTTTAATATCAGGCCAGTTGGTACAGCTTCAACTCTGTAAGCGAATATTCAAAATTTGAATTTTGTAATCCAGCAATAATGAATACTTGCCATGGCGAAAAATTAAGGCTGATGACGCATTGATATCAGCCACCATTTTAGAACGCAATCTCTTGGATTTCTTCATTTTCCAAAAACGTCATAAAACGATAAAAATCGAGTCAAGTTCGATTCAAAATCAATGAAATATTGTTGAAAAGCCCTAAACACTTTGAAATACCTGCATGAAATAAAATAGTTTTCAAGTTGTAAGAACATGTCGGCCAAATATGGTAACCGTGGAAACATTACGTTTTGAGTATAGCCTTGCAGACGGCCGGTGCGACTAAAATTTGAATTGACTGAGAATGAAATGAGAATTCAGCAGGCAGGAAAAACTGTGCTGTCCTGATGCAAGGTATTGAAGTCGGGCATCTTTTCTCACCGGTGAAGGCATTGAATATTCACGAAAAGGGATATATAATTCAAAAAAGCTATATCAGATTGTAAAAAGTGAAAAAAAAAAAAAAAAATGTGAGTCTCCAAACTTTTAATTTGGCGCCAAAATGGGTCTTCAGCGTTCGGCACCTCACTCATCGGTCGCTGTCGCCAGATAGGATAAAAGTTGTGTCATTTTGAATAAAATGTGCTACCCCTCATCAAATTAAACCCGGAATTCTCGAATTTTTTGTTGTTTGCGTAGAAAAAGACCATTATCGTGTCGTTTCGGTAGTTCAGCTCGGTCCTGACTGCCATTAGTTATACCAAATTGTTTCCAGATCAATTTTAAGGAACAAACGAAAGTCTAGCAGTCTATTGCTGGTTTGCAATATCACGCAATCAAAAATAAATATCGTAACCCATTCAATGAATTAAGTTAAGAATCTGGGATATGATAGAGGATTGATATATAAACAACCTTGCTAAGATCTTTGCGGTTTTTCATTCGCGCGTTATTTCGAAAAGTGTTTCACCCAAATTTATAGAGCTTTGTATGGAGACGCCATATTGGTGCCCTTCCGAGGGACACCAACATGGCGGCCGCACAATAACAGAAACAGCTGTCATTGAGTTTTGCTATTGGAACAAAAAATTATTACTCTATAGTTCTGATCATTGAAAGTAGTAGGTCTTCTAGTGCAAGAACTGTTCAGTTAGTTAAAACTTGAGTGATGAGTGACTGACCGACCCGGGATTAATTACTTCAGTACTTACTTAACATTTAAGTTTTATCTCAGAGTTGACTACTTATTTTCATTTGTTGATATCGTTGTTGATTTTTCGGCAGCCACCGTTCTTAATTCTGCGTATAGTATAGCTTGCGTACTAATAATAATAACAATAATAATAAATTAAGTCTTATATAGCGCTAGCTGTTTCTAGATTCGCAAGCTACCGTCATGTGCCAGTGGTTGTTCATGATGTTGCTATTGATGCCATTATGTTGCTTCCGTGAATAATGTTATCGTTCGCATTTTCTTGCTCATTGTTTGGTGGTTCTTCCCCTTCCTGTGTTGCTTCAAGCGGTACCACAATGTTCGTCGATCTTTCGAAGACTCGCAATCGGAACCGTTCAGCCTGTGTGTAGTTTTTTCTGAGTAATATTTCAACGAACGCAATTCGAAAGTGCTTTATCCTAACGCAGTAAATAACAGGATTTATCAACGAATTGAGAATTGCTACAAAGCTTGTCGTGAAAAAAGCAATATGAGCTGTCTTTACACGATTTATGGTAGAAGTCTGAAGTAGTATTCGAACAATAATTGATGGCAGATAGCACAATAGCAGAATAAAAAGTACAGTAGTTGTTAACTTTAAAGCTTTTCCCTCCTTCAAGAATTTTTCCCTGGCTTCTTCTGATATTTGATGGGCTGCGATTTGCTTCTCGTGGCGGCGAATTTCCCTGTAAACCGCAATGTGGCAGAAGACTATGATGGCCATAAGAAAGGGAAAGCGAAAATAACTCACCGTCAACAAAATGTTCTCGTCCGTTATGAGAAAGGGTATACATGCCTGCACCATTATGCTTATCCAAGTCACAGCAGACAAGCCGAGTATACGAGCTTTAGTAACATGGCTTGTGTAAGTGAACGAGTGTTTAATGGCCAAATACCTTTCCACGCTAATCAGGGCAAGTTGACAGAATGAAGCTCCACATAATGACTTAACCACAATTCTCGATAATCGTTGCAGCGTGCAGTGTTTGTTCGATGTCTCACCTTGCATGGTTAATATCGTGACCGCGGCAAAAACAGGTTGGGCGATTATTCCCACTAGCATATCAATGAACGCTAAACAGCACAGTGTGATATTGGAGTTAGTTTTCAGTCGGGCTTTGGTCTTCACAGCAATCATCACCAGCACGTTCAAAATAATGATGAATGGACATGTTGTTATGTTGACGACTGTTATGAAGATAAGCAGCACATACGCCCATGTAGCGGTACGATCAAGTCTTCCACCCAGATATTCGTAGATTTCGCATTCAACGGAGATCGTGTCGCTGGTAGAAGACCCGCTGAAATTCATGTCTTCTCTGTTGTGATATGTTATGGGGTCATCGGTCTTTAAATAGAACTTTTTCATTTCCGTCTTCCTTTGTAGATTGTACACAACTTCACCTGTCCATATATACGTAAGTTGTGGGGTCATCGGCTTTGAATTTCTTGTTCATTTAAACCGTCTTTTGTTAAATAGATTGTAAACATCCTAAAGAGTTCAGATGTACTGAACTGAAATTTAAGAAAATCGTTTTCTTCATTCAGTTACATTTCTGATTAACAAGAGGGAAAGAGTTTTATCCAAATTTTATCGTTGTGAGATAGTGAACGCCAATGTTTCTCGGTCACATTTTGACACCCCGTTAAAAATGTGTAAATTATAATGAATAAAGAGGAAATTAATTAAGGCGAAGGGAACCAGAGAACGATGAAATGCAAATTAATAAAAAAAGATTATTTTTGAAAATGTGGATTTATTATTGAATTCGAAAAGGCCATTATCAATGACTCACTAAGTCAACAAAAGAAAACTCGTTTTCACGAATTCTGCCTGAGTTGAAATATAGGGGATAAACAAGTCAATAAAGAAATAAGGAAGTGGTTTTTTTTTTTTCATATGTAAACATATATATTTTTCTATCAACACACGTTTTCGTCAATCCTGGGAACGACATATGTCAAGCCGAACTGAAAACCAGATTAGTCATATAATAAATGAGTACAAAATGTATTGTGTATTGGATTAAAGTTCATATAAAGGAAAAAATCATTTTTTTTAAATTAGTGTTTACGTTATATATCGTTTGAAATACACGATTCCAAGGTTTCTAGCTATTTTGAGCCATGAGCTTTTCCGAAATATCGAATCGCTGACCTTGGAATGAACTCATGTGTGGGAATTCTAAAAATCATCCGATCAGATCAGACTTCGCAATCCCAATACTACCACACAAAATCCATTCACTGGGGAACATAATGGGGCCTCGACGGGATGTTTGAGTAACGATACCGTTCAACTTTGAGCGACTAGAGCACAACCATAATCAATAAGATAGAATATCAAACGTTAGTAGTGTACTAGAGAACGATGAAAGTTTCAAATGGGGTGCATTTCACCAGGATCTGAGTTACCATAGCGACGAAATGACGCCATACCCCATTTTACATAAGACCGAATAACTTGCCATCAGCGATAAATTTAGGAGCGTTTTCGAGAAAATTGCGAGTGAAGTTTTAAGGTGTCAAAATTAAACAAAAACAAACAGTTTTCAATGTTATTAATTGAAAATTATGTTCACAAGACTCGAATAAATGGCATTTTAGTCTTAGATAAATCATATAACGTCTAATTATCTAGAATGAAAATCTCAGAGAAATCACCCAGTTTGATATTCAGAAACACTGGCTTGCACATAACTGGTTTGAGATTACATTTTAATTTTTTTTTTACAAAATCTGACCTAAAATTATTAAATTGGTCGACACTACACATTCGATGATTTTTTTTTTTAAACTTGGCCCTCAAAGAGATCAATCAGTATTGAATGAAACCATGGAGTTTCAAATTCATTGGAACATTTTAAGCCAACATATCTTGTTTTAACCTCAATTCAGAAAAATATTGCGGCAATTTTGACGCATGTGATTTGTTGTTTTCATTAACATTTTCTATTGTCTCGAATAGGAATACCATTGTATATTTCAGCATATTACGAATTCATATAAAACGCGTGCTTGTTTTCCGGTGATTTTCCGGAAGTATGCATGCTAAAATTTGCCGAGCCAACATTACAATAACAATGAAACCTTTGTCGCACTTTCAGTCACCTGGCGTTAACGCGAGGTGAGTGAACTGGGGTATGGCGTCATTCTGTTGCCATGGTGACTCGATCCTGATAAAATGTCCCCATTTGAAACTCTCATCTTTCTCTAGTACACCAGCAACGTTCGATTTTGTCGTATTGATTATGGTGGTGCTCTAGTCGTTCAAAGTTGAATGGTATCGTTACTCAAAAATCCGATCGATCCACCTTAAGGTGGCTCCCTATAGTTTTACGATCGCACGCGCTTTTAGGACGAAAGCTCAAGTAATCTGCGCGCGCTCAAAGGAAAACGTCAGTGTTTTTTGATATTTTTATGACGTCAACAAGAGCACAAAAACCAAAACTGACAGTGAATTTTCTCGCCTTTCCTACGTTGAAATTCCGTAAAATTTGGCAGACTGGTAATAAATATTTTACTTTAGTTGGAGCTCGTTTTCTAGCGAAATATATCTGACCAGTTTTTCTGCAGCGGTAAAGGACATAAATTTGCCAAAATCTAAAAAACTGCCAGTACTAACCGTACTTTTTTCGTGTTTAAAATTCGTATCTCGCCGTATTCAATGTACCGTAAAAGTCTGGAAAATTTCACCGAAGGAAATTCAAGAAAATCACAAATAAAGCCATAAACAACGCATTTGTTTGGGCATTTACAATTCAACATTAAAAGCAAAGATTTTAACAGAGATGATAGTAAATCAACATATCATCATTGTTTATTACACTTAATGAGTTTAAAAGGACTGGGTGTAAAAACGAATGTTAAAACAACATTCACAACATAATACTAGCGCACGCAACGTGACAAATGATTACCCTATGGAGCCACCTAAGCAACGACGACGACGACGTCGACGCCGAGGACGACGCCTCGTCAAAAATGAACTCATATTTTGCCCGCGAAAGTCGCAGTTGTCTAGATTTGTTCAGTTTGCCATTGGCTCTAAGAACTGAAAACTTGCTCAGGCCAAAATATGCAATGACAGCGTTCAATTCCAAATGAAAATATGAAAAAATTAGCCGTCTTCGTTCGCGTTCTTACGTACGCAGAACTTTGTCATTTCACGTTGTTTTGCAGAGGGCAGCCCCCCCCCGGGGGGCGGGGCGGTACTACCTTAAATGGGCTATAGAGGTATGTGCCGCTGTGAAGGTTGTGGTTCTCAAGCAGTTTACTTTAGGATAGAGTATGTAAATCAGAGCGTTTGGGTCTAGAATAGGGTATCATTTTTCTCAAAGCGACTGGTTGTTTGAAGATTTTATCTAGGCTAAGGAAACCAGGAATTGCCACTCAAAAATATAAAAAAACGAAATCGGCAAGTTTAAATTTACGCAAATCAGCCTCAACAGTGTCGATAGG